GTCCACTATGTGCAGAAACCCTCGGTCGCCCCAAGCCTTGGTAAACTAAGAATTTCTACTTCAAAAGATCTTCGGTGTTGGAGATGTTGCATGCCAAAATCCATTCAGCCTACACCGGGCATAAGCACGAAACATCTACCTAGGGAACTTGGGAGATGTTAGCCCTAAGGTATGTTTAGCATGCATGCAACAGTCACCACTCAACCAACCGCCCTTAGAATGCAGCGTCCATCATTTCCGAGAGAACTCGATGTAAAAACAACAACGAGAGCATTCCCTGAACTTGAGCCGTGACACCACCAACCGGCCACACATTTCAAACCTCGCCAGCCGACCTGCTCTTGGGAATCCCACCGGCCACAATTGTACTGTACGACCTGTTCGGCCTGGAAAATCCCTTGTTATGTCGGTGGGAAATATCAGAAACATCGGCAGCGACCAAGTCTCTGGTGAAGAGAAACTTGACTTCATGTCTGCTTGAGTCTTCCCTGTGCCAACTTTTATTTCCATGAAGACACATAGCTTTCATAGCTTTGGTTTGCTGCCCCGGGCCGCATTCATCCCTTTCCTCCCAGATTGTTGGTGACACCGCATGAAGACCTTGGATATCTAGCTAGGTACATGTTCACCACCCCGTGAATAACTAGGTACGGAGCACATACTACCTACTTAGGAGGTAGGTAAAGCTTTGAAATCCCCATTGCGACTCGCGATTACCTAGGTATCCATGACAAGATCGGCCGTGGATGTCTAGATTTATTGACTAGCCAAGTCTTATTACGGCCATCAAACATATCCAACCAGCTCGTGGCTGGGGGCCAGTGAATGAGACATTGCTAGGGTCCCTGCATGCTCCCTTGAGCTACCTAATTAATACCTTTAGGTACGCAGTAGGTAGGCTGCTTGGACATAACGTACGAGATAAGATATTCACTACCTAGCTGCCAGGTATGTCTACCTAGGTAGGTAAGCAGCGGATTTCAGGTCCAAGGCAAGTACAATCGAACTCTCCAACGAGACCTATCTTATGCGCCTTCACACGATCCGGGGCTTTCCGAACTGCAGTCCAGTACGTTCGACTCAGGGGCATCTAAACTTTCGAACATCCACCATCATCATGCAACAACAACGTGCCAGCGACCTGCCAAACACGACAGCAAGCTTGACAATCATGAGCATGGTATTTACTTCTCACCAGGCAGGTCAAGTTTTGGTTCAGTTGGCCAGCTTCGCCTTATCTATCGGGAGATCGACAATCACCAGCTCGCTCATAACACGCCCGCGCTTCAGGGATTCCTGCAGCAGAACCCCGCGGGATGCATGCAACAAGCTTCGGCCATCCCGCCCTGATGATTGGCTTGAGTACAGCGCAGATCGAAGATAAAAACTGTGGTGAGCTTGCATGTGTGAGAGGCGCCGCATATGGATAGAAAATTGGTTCAAATCTCCCCGGGCGAATAGTTACACGACCCTTCCTTTCTTTCTTTCTGCCTCGGTCAAGTTACGCTATCGCGCGTCGATGTAAGGCCAAAAGTGCACTGTGACTGACAACCCCATCGCCGACCAAAACAGAACGTGCGATCGTTGCATTGAGCGAGGGGTAGTACTGTCGTTCATAAAACAGGCGATTGCTCCCCGATTTGGGAAGAAAACGTCGCATATAGCTAGCTCATGATCGATATCGCTCACCAACCCCTCCAATTACCATGGCATCAGCAGTCGAAGCAAGACGGGATTCCCGTCGGGTGTCAGCCGATGCGCCGCCCGTGACCAGCGTGTTCGCCCCGGGTGACGTGCCTGACCAGCTATCAGAGATGTCGGACGACGAGGCCGCGCTGGCGGCACTGGGGTACAAACAGGAGTTCCGGCGCGAGTTCTCCGCCTGGACGACGTTTGCCGTCTCCTTCGCCGTCATGGGCTTGCTTCCCAGCATCGCGACGACCATGTGGTATGGGCTTGGATACGGTGAGTTTCCTCCTCTCTCTCCCGCTGAGGTGGAACATTTGATGGATGAGATGGATGATAAGAGACCGAATATCCAAAATATCTAGAAGGGAAGCTGATGGTGCGAATAAACAGCTGGACCGGCTGCTAACACTTGGGGTTGGCTGTTGTCCGTATTTTTCATTCTATGTGTAAGTCTGTTCATCTATCGTCTTTTAGTTGCTATGCTGTCGAATGGTCAAGGCAATATCGTTTGATTCTGATAACTAAATTTGACACGAAACCCCTAGGTCGCTGCCTCGATGGCCGAATTAGCTTCCAGTATGCCTACGTCTGGCGGGTTATATTACGCGTCTGCCGTTCTGGCCGGTCCCAAATATGGACCATTCGCGGCATGGATCACGGGATGGAGTAACTGGTTCGTCCAAGTGACGGGAGCTCCAAGTGTCGACTACGGCTGCGGTACGAGAGTCCCTCGAGCACATACATCCCCCTTCAAGAGGCCGAAGCCGTGAATCGCTAACATCACATACTTGCGCAGCTTCCATGATCCTGGCGGCCGCCGCCATCGTGAACCCGGATTACGAACCGCAGAACTACCACACCTTCCTCCTGACCGTCTTCATCATGCTCATCCACGCCTGCATCAGCAGCATGCCCACGCTGTGGATCGCCAACTTCAACTCGGTCGGCACCGTCATCAACATCCTCTGCCTCTTAATCACCATCATTATCATCCCCGCTGCAGCCATGACGACGCCCAAATTCAACTCGAATGACGTGGCTTGGGGGGTGCAGAACTTCACCGACTGGCCGGATGGAATCGCGGTTCTGATGAGCTTTTTGTCGATTATCTGGACGATGAGTGGCTACGATGCTAGGTAAGCTCTTCTCCCTAGACCAGCGATTCGGTTGCTCTTTTCGTCCTTGGCCCAGCATGTCTGTCATCTATCTCGCCGCATTATATACAAATGGAGTCGTACTGCGATACGCGATAGGGGTAATTCACCACGAAAAGAATTGAATCGGTGACGCTGCCTTATTGTAAAAATGACTGACCCAAACCACAGTTTTCACCTATCCGAGGAATGCTCCAACGCCGCAGTGGCCACGCCTCGATCAATCGTCATGACAGCTGCTTCCGGCTCGGTACTAGGTTTCGTGCTAAACACGCTCATCGCATATACGATCAAAGACGTAGGGGAGGTAATAGATAGCGAGCTGGTAAGCCGACATCCTCTCCTCTTCGCCTTTCTCTCTCTCTCTCTATCTCTTTCCTACCAACCTACAAACCAGCCTATCTCCATGCCATCCTATCTCTGGACCACCTGCTCACCATCTAAATAAAACAGGGCCAACCATGGGCGGCCTACCTAATCCAAATCCTGCCCCAGCGCACTGCCCTTGCCGTCCTCGCCATGACCATAATCTGCGGCTTCAGCATGGGCCAGGGGTGCATGGTGGCCGCGTCGCGCGTCTGTTTCGCGTACGCGCGGGACGACTGCTTCGGCGTCATCAGCCATCCCCTGAAGCGCGTGAACCGGCACACGCAGACGCCGGTCAACGCCGTGTGGTTCAACACGACGGTGGGGAACCTGCTTTTGTTATTGATCTTCGGCGGCGCCGCCATCGACGCCATCTTCAGTATCGGCGCCATCGGCGCCTATGTCGCCTTCACCACCCCGATCTTCATCAAGATCTGCTTCGTCGGCAACCGCTTCCGCCGTGGGCCCTGGCACCTCGGCGCCCTGAGCCTGCCCTCGGGCGTCGCGGCCGTGGCGTTTGTCCTGGTCATGCTGCCCGTGCTGTGCTTCCCGAGTGTGAGGGGTGGGAACCTGACGCTTGAGGATATGAACTGGACGTGTCTGGTTTATGTGAGTCGTCTGTTTCTGCTGTTTCTGCAGCTTTTGCTATTTTTGTTACTGTGGTGGTGGCTTTGGCTCATCCAAATTTAACACAGGGCGCCCCGATGGTGTTTATCATCGTGTGGTTCTTCCTCGACGCATATAAGTGGTTTAAGGGTCCCAAGATCAACATTGAGGTATGTTTCTCCCCCTTTCTATACTCCCACCCCAGTATCTGGTTCCGTGAGCGATGCTGACGTTGTGTCTAGCATCACATGCTTCATGGGCATATCCCTCGTATCGACGGTGTCGAGACCGAAAACGTGGCTGGTGATGGGAAGAGTAAGGATGTCGAGAGGGGTTCTGGGAGCAAGAACTCGTCGGATTGATGCTAGAATGGAGAACTTTGGTGTATAATTGAAGTAGCCACGTCAGTTTGCACATGATTTATGTGGGATATGGATCGGGGCTTGTGATAAGATGTATTAAGGTATTTGAAGGGGGGTTCGATATATACCTTTGAAGTAGTTACTGTCTGCTGGTGCGTCGAATAAGTGCTAGATGGTTATGTTTTCCCACAGGAGAAGAACACTCACCTATAACGTCGATGTATATGCATCATTCAAGCATTTTCTTCCATTTCAGGGAGACCTTTTCCTGATCCATGGTGGTCAGGAATTGGATTGTCTATGCTTTCTTCCCCTTGTTTTCCCAATGAGAACATCGTAGCGACGAGCAATAATCATTATAGTGCTGATGATTATTGCCCAGAACTGCATGTGAAGAATCCTTTTTCTGATAGCCGTCAATCATGGGATGGTTGGATGGATACCTAACAACGTCTTTGTCTTGGTCTACCATCACTCACTCACTCCACGGCCCCCAGCAGGCAAAGTAGGGAGCACAGCACAGCACAGCACAGCACAACACAGCACATTAGGACCAGTCTATCAAAGAAGACTCTGGTGGTAGTTAGAATCTGCTGCATGCCACTTCTTCTAGGTATTCCATGTCTTTATGTATGTAGCTTTGCTGTCTGTCTAAGTCACCAATGACCGGTTTAACAATTACCTAAGGTAGTACTGCCACTCTGGATCAACCTCGGAACTTTGAGAAGGCCCACATGACCCTATGTCTGATTGGTTCACTAAGCCTGGCAAATGTCTGGATTATAATGAATTTTTGCGGCCGAGATTTTTATCAACCAATAAAGCATCAGTGGTTTAGTGGTAAAATTCGTCGTTGCCATCTTTGTAAGTTGTGACTCGACGAGCCGGGGGTTCGATTCCCCCCTGATGCATCATGATTATCAATTGTTGTTCGCAACATTCATGATTCTCTCTTTTGATTATTTTTTTGTTGCTGAACTTGTTTCGCTCTCTTGTCTTTGCATAAGGAACAGGATCAGTGAATAAATGCATTTTTTTTGCAAGACCGGGCTGAAGTTTGTATCCCCCGCTGTGGCTATATGTCCCCGGGCGCTAAATTATAAACCTTAATTAGAAGCCTTGAAGAAACTACCCATAGGTGTATCTGTTCTCTGGCCTCGCTTCGCGCCCCTTTGCCCCTCTCATGGAGTCTTGTCAATTTACCCAAGTAACGACAAAGAATATTGATTCAGCTGATATGTGTTGGCACGTAGAAAAGAGCGAATTGCTCAAACAGGCAATAACACATCCCCCTTCCATTGTATCTTCTTTTCCCATCTATTGATTGTCTCGCAACTGGGAGACTGACTAGAAAGACATTGAGGAGGAATAGCAATGGCAGTTACAATAACAGACCCAACACCGGCCATCTTTAGTATCGTGCTTGTAATTTTAGTTGAGGTGAATTTTAGCTAGCCTTGAGACTCTTCCCAAAGCTACCAATACTATGTAATAAAGTCGTTGCCAGATAGTCTACTATCTGGAACTACCTAGACTACCTACTGGGGTAATGGGGCTATCCTAATCACTGCCTCACTTTCCAGCCAAACTTGCATAGCCTCACAAGGAGTGTAAATCTACATTGGGGGTATTACACATATTTAAGTAGGTATGCACGAGCATGAGCATGCATAAGGGGGCACCTGGGCAGTATCAAATAAGTAGATACATTTGTAGCATCGAAACTCCAAGGCCGCAGCATGTGTATGATACCTAACTTACAACGTACCTTAGAAGTTTACTAGGCATAGCTACCAAATATGTAGGTACTTAAGTAGGTACGGAGTAATGGGGGCCAAAAGACACCTGAATATCCATGCCCATTGGGGTACATGTATCTTGGGCGCTTGGCTCGTGCTTGGGCGATCTTTTAGCACGGAGTACTTGTGGTACGAATTTACTTGTTGATGCCGACTTCACAGGCGCCTGAGACATGTATCATATGAGCTTAGGTACTTCTTCTATTTATAGCATCCATTACAGCCCTGGACTACCCCAGTCCGGAACCTGGGGCCAGGCAGGGGCAAAGAATGACGCAGCCGAACGCGCTCAACGCGATCAAACCTCCAAATTTTTTGGCCTGGATGAAAGAATGATCATATATTCCTATCAGAACAAAGACTTGGGAACCAGCTCCTGTCTCATCATATATTCCAGAAAGGAGGTCATTGATCTACTCAAGTACAGAAACAAATCAAGACGGTGTGATGGTAGAACTACACCGGCTAGTTACATCTTAGGGGGGAAAACAGCAAACACAAGGGCAGTCGGTTCTCAACAATAATTGCACATAGCACCTTGGATCTCAGCCTTCCTCGTCGGGCCTCGTCATCCTCGTCCTCGTTCCTTCCTTGGGCTTCTTTTTGCAGAGCTCTTAGAGCTCTTCCACCCTCTGACTCCTTCCAAGGTTCTTGCATTTACTCGTTCCTTCCACGCCGATGCCTGCCAGCCGGCGAGCCTGCCTGTCTGCCTACTTCTGAATCACCTTCCGAGGCACTGCATGCGACCACAACACAAAAACATAAACCGGCCCAACCGCATTTCTGCAAAATGCACCACACGAAAACATCACAACCTTGAACACCACATTCATCTACTCTACTTCTCAATATTCTTCTCAACCCAATCAACCATTCACTATTCACTATTCACCCTTCGGCCGTGCGTATTGTGGTGATACCACTGCGCGCAGCCTGCCTTTCCTCACTACCCACCGCTAATCTTTTCTTCTCTTCCTCGTCCCCATTTGCGCTCCCGTCCGACCTGCAACTGGATGCCCTCTCGTCTTCCATCCGACATCCTGAGCACAAAGCCATTCCTGTCTTTCTCTTCGGGCGCGCATGTGTCACCACTCACCCAGCCGCATACGGAACCTACAGCGCGCGCAACAAAGACCTTGCCCCACGCCGTCCCGTCACAGTACTTACCTCAATCTGAACCACTACTCTCCCTGTTCGCCTTGTTTGTTCGCCTCAGGCGCCTAGACTAACATGGCACCGCCTCAGCCTCCCCCAACCCCTCAGTCCGCCTTGGAGCCTGACTTATCTGAGGTGGATGAGGAAGAACAGAGATTGAAAGAGGAGCTGGGTCTGCAGCAAGTTATGCTGGCATCCCTCGATGGTGTTGTACCGGAAGGACCTCGGCGAGCCCAACGCCAGAAACAAATCCAGAAGGAAATAAAAGACTTGCAGCAGCAATTAAGTAAGCTGGACCGCCAGCGATTTCAACGTAAGTACAGCATCCCCTCCCCTTCACCAATAATCCTTCCTGTTCCCTTCCTTTATCATTCATCTATCATGTATCCTACTGTCTCTTGGCCCGACCAACGTAAGCCGTTCTGCCAGGACATGCATGCCTAGTGTCTTGATCATCCCCGCCCCCAGTGTCTAGGTATTCAAACAGCTAATGCCCGTCTCCTAGTCAAACTTCCCCGAACCAACGTCCTCGCCTCAGCAAGCATGCCGTTCACGAGACAACCCGGTTTCAATGGGTATGATGGCAACGCCTCGTCGTCAGTTGCCCCCAAGCCCTTCCAGTCTGGCCTCAGCGCTCCGAGCATGTCGGGATTGAACACTGGCATCCAGAGAGGTACTGAGATTGGCCCACCCCAATGGTCGAGAAAGCGACGTTTAAGTACTCGCGATGACGCTTTTACTACAGGCCCGTCCAAGGCCCGTCGCACTACTCCAAGTACCATGAATGATTCGTACGATGGCTTTCTCGACGAGTATGATGTTTTCGACAAAGATAACCTCTTTAGTGACAGGTTGTATTCTGCCGACAAGCCAGAGAATGTGATTGACCTCACTCAGGAGGATATTGCGGCTCAACAACGCGAATGGGACAAGATTCAGAGTGAAAGGACGGATATGGATGCAGCTAGGCGCTTGCAAGACAGAATTAACAGCGATGTTAATACAATGTCTCCCGTCCAACCCTCTTTTCATTCCACTCACGTTCCTGCCCATGTAAAGTCTGAGTATCCCGGTACCTTGAACATGCCTGGGGGCTATGCTTCTGACGGCTTTGATGATACCCAATACTTGCACGATGATGGCCGATATGCCGGCGATGACCTTGGTGCCGGCTTGAGTTCCAATTACATTCCACACCGGTCAGGTGATCATCCACGTTTTGGTCTACCTCGGGGTTCCTATACATCTCCCGGAGCCAGAGCCGCCGAGGCTGCAATCCGCAGACCACAAGGATCGGGCCCCATAGGAAGCAGTGGACACATTCAGGCAGGAGCCACTGGGAGCCCTTTCGGCCATGGATCATCTCGTCCTGGTCAATTGACTAATGGGCAGGTAAAGCACTTCCCGACCCCCGCGACGCCTGGGTCCGGCTCTGGCAACTACGGCCCTCATGGCACCGGTTACAACCAGAACCTTCAAGGTGTGATCAATCATACTAATGGCTACAACTTCCAAAATGGGACCGATGCATCAGGTCGACCACTTCCTCAACGCGTCCAGAACTTTGTCAACTATGTCAAGGAGGACCCGCGATTGAACGAGCAGCGGATCAAAGAGATTCTGGAAAATATCCGTCCGGATATGGACATTCCTGAAGAGGATCGGGAAGAGACCCCCGTCGCCCTTGTGTATCCCTTATATAAGCACCAGCAGATTGCACTCTCGTGGATGCAGAAGATGGAGGATGCCGAAAATACAAAGGGCGGCATTCTCGCCGATGACATGGGACTCGGCAAGACTATCTCTACCCTTGCTCTGATAGTCAGTCGCAAGGCACCTGGTGGCTCGGACCCCCGATCAACAAAGGTAAGTAATGTTGTGATGATCCCTGACTTAGAATATACCTAATACTTGACAGACCAATCTCATTGTTGGCCCTGTGTCTCTGTTACGCCAGTGGAACCGGGAAATTGACAAGAAGCTCAAGATTGGTCATGGTCTCAGAGTATTTGTTCTCCATGGAACTACAAAGAAGGTGGTAAGTACTTCTGGGCATCTCTCAACGAGCTTGGCTGTACTGACTTTGTGGCTGTAGTCCTTTGATTATCTTCGCCAGTTTGATGTTGTATTGACAACATATGGCACTCTTGGACAGGCAAATAAAAGGCGGGAGGAGTACATCAAAAACCAAAGGGCAAATGGGGAAGAAGTTGACGAGGAATACCTCTCTACCATATCTCCTGTCTTTGGCTCAAAAAGCTATTTCCATCGCCTTATTCTAGACGAGTCACAGGCCATCAAGAACCAAAAAACACTAGCGGCCAAGGCTGTAAAGCAGATACAGGGCACATACCGATGGTGCCTCTCAGGTACCCCTATGATGAACAACATTGAAGAGCTTCAGTCTGTCATTGAGTTCCTTAGGATAAAGCCTTACTGCGAGCGCGAAAAATTCCGCAAGGTAAGTTTCTTGGAGGACCTCCATGTGCTGAGCTAACATGGACATTAGGTCTTCGGTATTCTGAACCCCAAGAGGGCTGGAATGTATCCTGGCAATGCCGTAACCGCAATGAAAAGACTGCAGGTGCTTCTTAAACAGATCATGCTTCGACGAAGCAAGAATTCAATGATTGATGGGAAGCCCATCATAGAGCTTCCCGAGAAGACAGAAGAAACTGTTCATGTGGTATTCGATCAAGACGAACAGGAGTACTACAACCAGCTGGAGAAGAGCGCCAGTGTGCAAGTGAGCAAATATCTACGGAGCGGAACTGTCGGGAAACACTACGCCCACGTGCTGGCTCTCCTCCTCCGTTTGCGGCAAGCTTGCTGCCATCCGTATCTGCACCTCACGGACGCAGAGTCCGCTAACAGCGACCTCGCGGAAGGACAGATGGTAAAGCTTGCGATGGCCCTCGACCCCACTTCTGTCAATCGCATTAAAGACACCGAAGATT